CACATAAAATAAAAATAATAAATAAAAATTAAAAAAAATTAAAAAATTTTTTTCTAGTTCTTACTATGTGCCAGATTTGTGCCAAGTGTCAGGGATAGACTAATAACAAAGACATACTGGTGGTTTGAATGAGGGATGTCCACCATAGGCTCCAAGTATTTGGATACTTGATCCCTAGTGGTTTGGGGAGGGTCATGGAACTTTCAGATGTGGCCTTGCTGGAGGAAGTGCATCACTGGGGAGGTCTTTAAAGTTCATAGCCTTGACCACTTCTGGCTTGCCTTTCTCTTCTTCCTGTACCTGCCTGAAGATGTGAGCTCACAGCTTTCTGCTCCAGCTGCCTCCTGCTGTGCATTCCCCACTGTGATGGACTCTTATCCCTCTGGAACCATAAGCCCAATAAACATTTCTTTCTATAAGTTGCCTTGGTCATGGTGTTTTATCACAGTAATGGGGAAGTGACTAATGCACCCTTAATGCTCACAGATTAACATCCCAGATGCCAGCACAAGGGCTACTAGCTCTATGTGGCAATTGAAATTTAAATTCATATAAATCAACATTAAACAAAAATAAATTAAGTGCAAATCTGAGCTCTTCAGTTGCACCAGTCACATTCCAACAGCTCAAAAACCATATAAGGCAAGTGGCTTCCTGACCTGGACAGCACAGATGTCCCTCACTGCAGAAATTTCTGTAGGACAGCATTGGTATGTGTCACGTGAGAGGGAACTTAAATAAATTAGCTTCAACTAACAATTCTGTAGCATTGTGACACATGTTTCAAAAGAGAAATATAAAGTGTCGTAAGACTATATAAACTGCAGACTTAAATGTAGGCCCAAGTGCCTGAAGAAACTGGTGTTAAGGCTGAGACCAGAGGGTGACAGAGACTTAACTTGCAGACTGGAGGATGATAAGAGACTTAGCCTGCAGAAAGCAGGATACCAATGTAAGAGTGACTCAGCACACAGAATGAAGGCACTTTGAGGGAACTTTGGATATGCAGAAGTCCTAGAACCAGGGACTTGCTGAGTAACTGATGGAGATATTTTTAAAAAATTATATATATATATTGACAGGGTCTCCTGTAGCCTCAGCTCACCTGAAACTCACTAGGTAGACCAGGCAGGACTAGATCTCACAGAGATCCGCCTGCCTCTGCTTCCCAAGTGCTGGGTAATGGTATGCATGCCACATTTGTTTACGTTTGATAAATGGAAGTCTCTTGCTTTGATTGCTAAAATAGGAAGGGTAGGAAGAAAAGAACACTTATGATTAAATATGACCTCAATCTCTAAATTAGGCAAAGTGACTATTTCACTCTGCATATTCATGTATTGTAATATAAAGAATGCTAAATGGTCAAGGTATTCATTTTTTAAATACAAAGGCTTTATGCTGACAAGGATACCATTGCCATGTGCACATGAGTAAAAGTTGAGGCAGTGATAATGACAAAGGGAATGTTTACCATACAATCATGCATAATCTTGTTCCAGTCTTCTCCTGTGACAATTCGGAACAATACAGTAATAGCCTTGCCAGCCGAAGAAAAATTTGCATGCCTAATTTAAGAGAAGAAAACAGAATGGAAATAGGATGACTTGTTATGAAGTAGTGTGGATGGTCACCAGCCAAACTGGTGGGTTTGCAGAAAACTTATCTGTTATCATGTCCTACTAGTACAACTGTTTGACAAGCCAGTTCTCACAAGGCCACCCATTTATTGCCATTTATCATGAATGATGGAGTGAGATTTGGCCACTAAAAGTGACTCCTTTTACTTAGGTCTTCAAAGGAGGAGCAGCCATGTACTAAATACATCATTTCTTCAACAAGGCTTATTTGCATAGGTCTTGTTTATTAGGACCTTTAAGAAAACAACCACCAATTGCAGCAGTAAAATGGAAGATCATCTTTGA